CCTTTTACCACCCATACCCCCCCGCACACACACGCACCCCTCAGCCTTGCTTCCTGCCAAGCCCTGTAATGAGCTCACTCTTTGACCAGCGGTCATCATTAACTCTGGATGACGTCACTCTCTTTCTGCCTGTCCGAGCAATTACGTCTGGAAATTGACCAAAATTAGCACCCCTTACTTCCGCACCTACCGTGGCTCCCAGTGAATCACGCACTGTGTCTAACTCCCTTTTTTCACACATGCTGTTCATTTCTTGAGCTTCCTTTCTTGAGCTTTTTTACAAAAAGACTTCTTCGGTTTTTTGTTGGGTTTTAAAAAAAAGAGAAGATAATTATATTGGAGTTGCTCTTTTGGCTTTTCTTGCAGCCATAGCACATTAAACTATCCTAGGTCGTGCTCTCTGGGGCCTTTCCCCTTCACCTTGTATGTAGCACGCCATTTGACTTAATTTGAGCTAAATAAACGGTGGTTGGTGTGGGGGGGGGGGGGAGAAAGGTGCCACGTATACTCTCATTAGCAGCCCTGGTGGCGTGTCCTTCACCTGGGGGGATAATAGCACGTATACTTTGGCGGCGAAGTTTTGTGGGGGTTTTAATAAGGAGAGAGGAACGGCGGCCATGACAGTGCAAGGTCAAGGGGTACATGAAATCTATGAGCCAAAAGCTATGATGCGCAAAATGACTCTATCGCTACCATCAATAATGTATTTATAGAGGCAGCAGCCATTCATGTCCAGGTGCTGTTTTAGCCCTCATTCGCTACCGCAAGTCTTATCAATGTCCTATTTTTGCAGGAGAGGGGGTGGGTGGTTGAGGGGGGGGGGGTCTTTGGTTCATTGTGTAGTCTCTGTTTGCCGGAAGTTGAACTTCTACAGTTTTACTGTTGCTGGTTTTTTAAGGATATATGATATGGAAAGGTCTTGAACATCTAGCTCTCACTGGCAAAATCGAAGGCGAACGAGGCAGAGGTAGGCCCGGAGCAACCTATTTATGGAACCTAAATAAATGAGTAACGTGGAAAGATCATGGAATAGTAGCTTTTTTTAGAGCATCCAAGCAAAGGAATGAAAGGAGAACCATGATCGCCGATGTCTGTCGCAGATCTGGCACTGGATGATGATGATATTATATGGTTTGCCTTTTGGCATTTCTTGCAGCCACAGCACAATAATATACGCACCATAGACTTGTGTTTTATGCTAGAATATTATTATTTTCTTCTGTACTGTGGGGTTTTTTCTGTTCATTAATTTCTTGTTTCCTTCTTTCATGAGTAGCACCCAGCGGTGTGTTTCGACTGGGGGAGTTTAGATGGGGATTTCTGCTGTTGTCTTGGTGTCTTTGTATGCCAGCTGACCCAGGAGGAACAGTTCATTCGTGTTTCACATTACAACGACACCTTGCAAGACGGGCACCTGTCTAAGACACATACTTTTCTCTTCAACAATGGACGGCTGTCTTAGACAGTTTCAACTGTACTCAGTTTAGATAAGTAAAATGATTTTTTTTAAAAACTGAAAACTAAAGTTGTTCCCGCGTCCGATCCAGACATTGGGGATTGCCTTGTTAGTGAGACAACTTCCTGGGCCTTCGGCATATTGCGGTAGGGTGGCCAGTTCCTTTCCACGCCGTCTTTACTTCCCCAACTAGAAGTCAGGTACCCATTACTGCTGGGTGGGCAGGAGGGGGCGAAAAAAATACATGTCCGAACCGAGGCTCGAACACGGACTTTTTGCTTCGGAGACGAGCGCACTAACTGCTCCGCCATCGCCTAAAATAGGATAAGGCGAAAGAAATGATTGTATTAAATGACTGTGTTCTGTGAGCAGTGTACGACAGATATGACTGTATTAAATGACTGTGTTCTGTGAGCAGTGTACGACAGAAATGACTGTATTAAATGACTGTGTTCTGTGAGCAGTGTACGACAGAAATGACTGTATTAAATGACTGTGTTCTGTGAGCAGTGTACGACAGATATGACTGTATTAAATGACTGTGTTCTGTGTGCAGTGTTTGAGCGACAGATATCACGCAAAGAAATGACTGTGTTCTGTGAGCAGTGTACGACAGATATGACTGTATTAAATGACTGTGTTCTGTGAGCAGTGTACGACAGAAATGACTGTATTAAATGACTGTGTTCTGTGTGCAGTGTTTCAGATCATCATTCCGTGCAAAGAAATGACTGTGTTCTGTGAGCAGTGTACGACAGATATGACTGTATTAAATGACTGTGTTCTGTGAGCAGTGTACGACAGAAATGACTGTATTAAATGACTGTGTTCTGTGAGCAGTGTACGACAGATATGACTGTATTAAATGACTGTGTTCTGTGAGCAGTGTACGACAGAAATGATTGTATTAAATGACTGTGTTCTGTGAGCAGTGTACGACAGAAATGATTGTATTAAATGACTGTGTTCTGTGAGCAGTGTACGACAGAAATGACTGTATTAAATGACTGTGTTCTGTGTGCAGTGTTTCAGATCATCATTCCGTGCAAAGAAATGACTGTGTTCTGTGAGCAGTGTACGACAGATATGACTGTATTAAATGACTGTGTTCTGTGAGCAGTGTACGACAGAAATGACTGTATTAAATTACTGTGTTCTGTGAGCAGTGTACGACAGAAATGACTGCATTAAATGACTGCATTCTGTGTTCAGTGTACGACATTAATTACTGTATTAAATGACTGTGTTCTGTGTGCAGTGTTTCAGATCACCATTCCGTGCAAAGGCAAAGAAAGGGGCGTGGCCTCGCTCATGTTGGGCCTGAAGATCTACGACCCGTGGGGGCGGCCTCTCAAGGGCACGCCGCTACAGTTCCGGCTGAAGAAACAGTGCGTGGCTTTTGGTAGGTACTTGTTGTTGTTGCTGTTGTTGTTGTTGTTGTTGTTGTTGTTGTTATTATTGTTGTTATTGTTGGTGGTGGTGGTGGTGTTGCTGTTGTTGTTGTTGTTGTTGTTGTTGCTGTTGTTGTTGTTGTTGCTGTTGTTGTTGTTGTTATGTTGTTGTTGTTGCTGTTGTTGTTGGTGTTGTTGTTGTTGTTGTTGTTGTTGTTGTTGTTGTTGTTATTGTTGTTATTGTTGGTGGTGGTGTTGCTTTGTTGTTGTTGTTGTTGTTGTTATGTTGTTGTTGTTGCTGTTGTTGTTGGTGGTGTTGTTGTTGTTGTTGTTGTTATTGTTGTTATTGTTGGTGGTGGTGGTGGTGTTGCTTTGTTGTTGTTGTTGTTGTTGTTGTTGTTGCTGCTGATATTGTTGTTGTTATGTTGTTGCTGTTGTATGTGTTCTTGTTGTTACTCCTGTTATTCTTGTTGTTACTGTTGTTGTTGTTGTTGTTGTTGTTGTTGTTGTTGCTGTTGGTGGTGGTGGTAGTGGTGGTCAAAATATTATTGCCGCTGATGTGGTTGTTATTTATTATCATACTTCTTGCTCCAGCGCCAAAAGTAATGGGTGGCTTTTGAAACATTGTTGTTGTTGTTGTTGTTGTTGTTGTTGTTGTTATTGT